GCCTATCTGATTAATCGGGTCCCATCTCGAGTGTTAGGTAATATTAGTCCTGCTCAATTTATGCTCTCACGTTTTCCCTCTGTTCCTATCTTACATAATCTTGAGTCTCGCGTGTTTGGTTGTGTTGCTTTTGTTCATGTTCACAAACAATATCGCAACAAGTTGGATCCCCGTGCTGTCAGATGTATCTTTCTGGGTTATGCACCCAATAAAAGAGGGTACAAATGTTATCATCCTCCGAGTCGGAAATTCTTGGTCTCCAAAGATGTCACCTTTCATGAAAATGTGCCATACTGCACTCATTCTCAGTCTCAGGGGGAGAACATGAGTGACTTAGAGTCTGAGTCCGAGTTTCTGATCCTTGGTCCTAGCCTCCCGAGAACACCTGTCAGTGTTCCCTCTCTTGAACCCGAGTTGTCACCTAGTTTGAGTTTGAGTCCTAGTTCAACACCTGAATCTGAGTCAGTAATTGTTCCTGGTCCTTCAATGCCTTATGTTCCACAGGAATCAACACCTTCAGCACCAACTCTAGTGTATCAGAGAAGAAGTAAATCTGACCTTCTCCATAAACAAATTCAATCGTCTGAACCGGAGGTAAGTACTGAAAATGATTCCTCAAATGATGATTGTTCTATTTCTGATACTTGTGACACTAATTCAGTTGATTTACCCATTGCTTTGTGGAAGGATAAAAGATCTTGTCCCTCCGTATATCGACACCTTATCTCTCAATATGTCTCCACTAAACATCTTTCCACACAATATCAAAGTTTTATTGCAGCTGTTGATTCTGTGAAAATCCCATTATCAGTTGAAGAAGCATTGCAAAATAGAAATTGGGTCCAAGCTATGGATGAGGAAATGAGAGCACTTGAAAAAAATGGTACTTGGGAGATTATTGAAAGGCAAAGAAACAAAAAGTTGGTTGGATGCAGATGGATCTATACTGTAAAGTATAAATCTGATGGCACACTTGATCGGTACAAGGCAAGACTAGTGGCAAAAGGTTATACTCAGACATATGGTATTGATTATGAGTAGACATTTGCCCCAGTGGCAAAAATGAACACTGTTCGAATTTTACTATCTCTTGCTGCTTCATGTGGATGGGAATTGCAACAGTTTGATGTTAAAAATGCATTCTTGCATGGAGACTTAGAGGAAGAAGTGTATATGGAGATTCCACCGGGTGTTGGCATAACAAATGAAGCTAACAAGGTGTGTAAATTGAAGAAAGCCTTATATGGACTAAAGCAGTCCCCTCGGGCATGGTTTGGAAGATTCACAAAGGCAATGGTGTGTTTGGGATATAAGCAAAGTCTAGGAGACCACGCTTTATTTTTTAAACATTCACAGGAAGGAAAATTGATTGTACTTCTTGTTTATCTTGATGATATTATTGTTACAGGAGATGATTTGACTGAGAGACATTTGCTCAAAGAGAAATTATCAGCAGAGTTTGAGATGAAAGACCTTGGACAACTCAAGTATTTCTTGGGAATTGAGGTAGCCTACTCAAAGCAAGGCATCTTTATCTCTCAAAGGAAGTATGTACTTGATCTTTTGCAGGAAACTAGCAAACTTGGATGCAAACCTGCAAGCGTTCCCATTGAACAAAATCATAGGATAAGCTTTGAGGAGGAAAGTGACAAAGTTGACAAGGGTCAATATCAGAGATTAGTGGGAAAATTGATTTACTTGGCACACACTAGACCAGATTTAGCATATGCAGTCAGTGTGGTGAGTCAATTCATGCATGATCTGAGGGTGCGACATTTGCAGGATGTAGACCGCGTTCTACAATATCTTAAAGCAACTCCAGGGAGAGGACTTTTGTTTAAAAGATGTGAGAATTTAGCTATGAAGACTTACACTGATGCGGATTATGCCGGCTCAGTGAGTGACAGAAGATCTACGTCAGGCTATTTTACTTTTCTGTGTGGTAACCTTGTAGCTTGGAAGAGTAAGAAGCAAAGTGTAGTTGCTCGATCAAGCGCCGAGGCAGAATTTAGAGCTATGGCACTAGGAATTTGTGAACTATTATGGATGAAACAAGTTCTAGAAGACTTGAAGATACAATGTGAAGGCCCTATGGAATTGTTTTGTGACAATAAATCGGCTATTAGTATTGATCATAATCCTGTTCAGCATGACAGGACTAAACACATTGAGATTGACCGACATTTTATCAAAGAGAAGTTGGATAGTGGGCTGATAACTACATCTTACGTTCCTTCTGGGCATCAGCTCGCAGATGTGTTAACAAAAGGCTTACCAACAGAAAGATTCAAGCAACTTACTTGCAAGCTGGGAATGATAGATATCCATTCACCAGCTTGAGGGGGAATGTAATAAATATTAGACTGTAAATAGTAATTAGTAGTATTAGTAATGAGGCCCATTAGTCAAAACCCATTAGGTTTTCTATTCTCTCTTATTTAAAGCATGTAGTTGCAATATTGTAAGCAGAACTTTTAATTCCATCAGTGAAATATTTTACAACATGAACAATCTATGTAATAACAAAATGTGACCTTTTACTTTTACTCAAAACATTCCACCAATTGGTATTAGAGGCAAATAGATATGATGTATGACTATTTTTTGTAGTTGATTTATTCGCGATTGTAAAAATTGCATGTGATGTTATTCTGTGTTGTGTAATTGAACGATCCATATAATAATAAAATATGACCTTTTACTTTTCCTGAAAAAATAAAACCCATGAATTGAAATTGACTAATTTCAGAAACAATTTGAGATTTTTTTTGAACAATTTTGTTCCCTATGACTCTTCAAACAACATATTAAAATATGAAAGATTTTCTTTCGGTGTTCATCGATAAATCGTGCTTCATTCTTTTTTTTTTTTCCGATTAAGAACTTTAAATTATCGATTTGCATGTTTCGATCACCAATTCATAAAATCAATATATGGGACCACTCTATTTTATAAAAACAATTAAAATGAATGTACATTTTGTTGTCTTACGTTGATAATTAAACCGAGTCAATAATAAGATCATGATATCTGTTTGTTTGTAAAACGTCTATAAAACGAATAAAAAAGATGAATTATAGTAATAAACTTGACAGTCTGAAGATTATACGAATTTCAATTATACTTATAAAATAAATTATGACAGGCTGACATTGTAAACTTATAACACTAAGATTTGCCGTCACTTTTCATAAAGCTGCATATGTTTATTATACGGCAAAATAACCTTTTTGGTCCCTTAACATTAGCTCGGGGTCCATTTTGGTCCATTATCTTTAAAAAGTGTCAAATGGGTCCTTTAACTTTTAAAATAGTGTCATTTTAGTCCTCACCGTCAGTTGCCCCCAAACGTCCGCTTGTTTTGTATATCAGGCAGATGAGGTGGCAATCTTGTTCATGATGTGTATTTCTTCTCCCTCCTCCTTCTGTTGAAATCCCTAAAATAATCTCAAATCCCAAATCCCAATCCCAATCACAAATCTGTAAATTAATCTAGGGCAAGCATGAAATCCGGATGTTCCTCTTCCATTTCAAAAATGAAAAGTCGGGGTTTAGATATTTGTAATCGGTCACGATGGAAGCCCATGTGCCATTGTGGAGACATGGTTGTTCTTCAAAGGGCAACTACTGTTAAAAATATGGGAAAACTTTTTTGGGGTTGTCCAAATTATAAGGTATGCAAGCTGGTTTTGTTCTCTGCTGAAGTTATATATTTGTGTAAATTATGTTTATGTTTCTGTTTTATGATGTTTCTGTTTATTATCCATCATCCTCTAAACAATGAATCTTACAGGGAGGTATGCAAGCTGGTTGTGGCTTCTTTGATTGGTTTTATGAGGAGATGGGTGATGAGAAGGAGCAATTTTGGATCCATAGGTTGGGTGTGGTAACTAAGGGACTTGCTAAAGCAGAAAAGGACATTGAAAAAGCGACAATGGAAAATGAAGAATTAGGGAAAAAGCTGATGAAACTTGAAATTGAAATGAAGAATATCATGAAGTGGAAAAAGATTTTGAATTTGATGTTTGTGAAGATTATCATTGTATTAGTTGTTAGGGGTAGTTAGGTTATTACGGTTTGTTTGGAAGTATTATGTTTAGTTAAAGTTTGTATGACTTCAACATGAATGTAATAGTTGGATTTTAATATATGGATTGTACCAGTTTAGTTAATTTCAGTTGTTGCAGTTCAACATGAATGAATATAACAGTTTTGGATTATATCATGTCAATGTGTTTTTTATATTTGGTATATAACAGTTTGGATTATGTTTGGTATATAACAGTTTGGTATATAACAGCAGCATATATAAAGCAGCATACATATAATAGTTTGGACTGCTTTTAGGTTAAAGTGTTTTACCCAGTTTTGGTTATACATATAACAGTTTTGGTTATACATAAAGCAACATACATAAAAGTTTGGATTATATGTTTGGTATATAACAGTTTTGCAGCATACATGTTTGGTATAAGCATCATACATATAACAGTTATGCTTTTAAATTGATCAAACCCGTGGGGGTATATGTATTGTGAAGCTGCTTGCACTATATACCCGTGGGGGTATATACACTAAAGATAAAATCTGAAGCATATTTATTCTGAGCAGCATACATATAATAGTTCTGCTTTTAGGTCACGGTTTTTATGTTTGGTATATAACAGTTTGAATTATATCACAGTTTTAGGTTCTGCTCTTTGGTATATCACAGCAGTAGAGTACAACATGTTCAAATTATAAACCTATAATACTTTCCAAAGCAACATGTTCATGATAGCAGTAAAATACAACAACAGTAGAACTTGTTCATGATAGCAGTAGAGTACAACATGTTCAGACTATAAACTTGTTCATGACAGCAGTAGAGTACAACATGTTCAAATTATAACACATAAACTTGTTCATGACAACAACAGTAGAATGTAATAGACTTGTTCCAAGACGACAACAGTACAATACATAAACTTGTTCTAGGTAACTAAACATGTTCCACAACTTAGAGTTTCTTCTTTGGCGTGGTCCTCTTTGTTGGTGTGGTCCTCTTTGTTTCATCAGACTTTTCATCTCCAATCGACTTTTTAATGCTATTGATTTCAAGAATTTTAATCCCTGCTTCGCTAGAATCATCTGGTGTCGGTTTCACTGGCAGCGGAAAGATTGAAGTTTCATAAATCATTTTCGGATCAGGCGAGGGAGTTTCTAGAAATTTCTCCATGTAACTTTTCCCAGATTTTGCTTCAACAGCAGGTCCATTCAATTGTCTTTTCTTCAGCTTCACTAGGCGAGCTGGATTACTATAACCATTCTCAATACATTCCTCAAGAAGCAGTTGGTGTAATCTGCAAAGATGGAAATAAATTTGAGACACCAGTCAACAATTTAAAGACATAACCAGTCGAATACCAATGTACCACAACAAAATGATTGGAACTTACTTTGAATGTGTTGGTACAACATTAGGAGTTTCATCGTCCCTTAGCCGTGCTCCTTTCTTCTGTGGAAATGAAACATAATTATATAATCAAATTTGCAAAAGTATACAATTTTTCATTGTATAGAGTTCTTTATTGCAACCCTAGAATAATTAAGAAAAAGCACCAAACACTTATCTGCTTATAGCACATATGGTCATATATGTATGTATCAAAGGCACTGCCATATATGTGGACTTCATAATTCACATCATTTGATTTCAAATTTTCAATTATAATTTACAAACTTTCAGCAAGATCCCAGCCAACATTACACAGCACAAAGCTCATTAGGATCACACGTTTGCAACCATTCTCCCATAGGAGACTATTTCAATAAATGGTAGAATAAAAAAATGTGTACCTTGACTTTACGAATTCTTCTTTCCCTGTGGACTTGTACAGTGGCTCTTACAGATGAAGCTGACTCCATTTTAAAGAATGATGGATCAATATAACGCTTCAGACATGCCCTAGCCCCAGCCACATCAAACCTTTAAATAAGGCAAAAGCCAAAAAGAAAATTTTTCAAATATATATCACAGAATAATAATGTTTCATTTATGTTGAAACCATATATATTGGATAAATAAGACCACCATACTTATTCAGAAGGAACAGTCTTGGGGGACCGCGGCATTCTTCATAGGAATCCATTATCAATCGAGGTAGGTTTCTAACGTTAACAAGGTTTTGTTCAGACTGAAGTAAAAAATGATTAATGGTGAGTTTGAGAGTAAAAGGATTTTTCAAGTGAAGGAACTTCAGCCTCAAGCTGTTTAACACGAGCTGTAAGACTGTGGCCTCTTGCAACGGTAGCCATTACTTCTTCATGTAAATCATGGAATATCTCAGCAGCAAACCTAATAAAAAAGAGAAGATAAATGCATGGAATTTGAAATGCTGAATAAGAAATATGCTCAGTAAAGCAAGAACTAATGCTCACTTCTCAACAAAATAAGAGTTTTCAACACAATAAAACCATATTACAGACAGATATATAGAAATACGCCAATATGCCTGCTGTCTCTCAAGAAGTTTGACAAATTTTACCATTCTGGAGACTATAAAATTTTTATTCTCCATGTTGTTTTAGTTTATATGATATCTAAAATTTAGTTGGATTTTAAAACCATTGATACATGTGTAACAACATAAACATGACAGAGAAAAGAACGGGTAAAGGAGATGCATAAGCAGAATTGCAGGAAACCAATTATAACTATCAATTATGTCAAAAAAACCCTAAATTAGAGAGAAATGAACAAACCTTTTGATTATGTCTCTTGAATCGTCTTCAATCCTCAATCAGAAAACCCTAAATCAGAAAACCCTAAATCCTTCGCGTCTGCTTCGCGTCTGCAAACCTTGAATCGTCTTCAATGACTCAATGAATTCTCCAAAACTCCAAGATATGATTATACTTCTCCAAGCAGCTCCACCTTGTCATGCCTTCTTCTGGTCTGGGTAATGGTGGATAATGGAACCGTTAGAATTGTTTTTCTTCCTCTAAGACACTTCATATTCACGTCAGCAGCTCCACCTGGACAAACTTGGCAATTTTTTCAAAGTTTGACTAACGGCAACACACGAAAGGATAAACGTGACACCATTTTAAAAGTTAAAGGACCAACTTGCCACTTTTTAAAGATAAGGGACCAACATAGACCCCGAGCTAAAGTTAAGGGATGAAAAAGGTTATTTTGCCTTATTATACCAATTTTTACAATAATATCTATATCAACTTTTTCTCATATCCTAAAAATGGTCATTAATAACTTATTTTATTTTAATAAATTACGTGTTTTGAAATATGACAATCGATTAATAATTATACATGATTGAAATAATTATAATAATAACATGAATTGTCATATTGGTTAAAGAACAAATTTTATTCATTCGTATAATTATACTCTCACATATTGTGAGTATAATTATATAAATTTTATGTGGTAATTACATAATTATTTTGTTAGCAATAATAATTGTTTTATATTAATAATAATTATATTCTGTCTATATATATATTTTTTATATAAATTTAAAATAAATAAAATTTATTAGTAATTGTGATCTTTATTATATTAATAATAATTATACCCTATCAATATATTATTATCAATGTAATTTTGTTATGATACGAATTGTTGTTGACACTTTATACTTATTTTATAATGTTTAAATATCCTATCGATATTGAAATTTTGGTAATATAAGTTTTTGTTCATTATTGTATTTCTAATTAAAATCATAATGAGCTAGAGTTTTATCAGGAAAACACTTGGCTATTATATGTGGAATAATTTTTCTATATTACACAATTGTTCACTTAATGATTCCTTATTCCTCCATGACAGTCTCCTTTCCTAACTTTGTCAAAACTCTGAATGAGACCAATTATGAGGGATGGAAAAAGTCTTTTGACCTTTATTTGCCCATAGCCAACCTTGACTTGCCTCTGAGAACTGGAAAGTATGTCGCTATTACTGACTGTATACTGAAGCTCAAAGTACTCTTTATGAAAAATGATAACACTCTAATAGAGTGTGCCTTAAGGTGATATCTTACACTATGGAAAATTTGTTAGACAAAGCATACTTGAAAGTGAGAGTGTTAAAGTTTATTTGAAGTTTGTTGGTAAAAAGTTCACTCGCTTTGATAAGGCTAAGAAGTGTTAGTGGTGTGTGTGAACATATTATGAAATTGATCCACTATTATAATAATTTAAAAGCTCTCAAAGTTAAAATTGGTGAGAGCACTCTAATTTGGAGGGTTCTTGAGTCTTTTTCTCCTCAATTTGATGTTATGAGAACCTCCTATGATACCCAAAAAGTTAAGTGGTTTGTGAATGAGATGATAGCCATAGTAACTCAAGAGGAAGATTCTATGAAAAAGGCAAAGCTCAAAGTGTTAAGTTTGTTGCTTCTACTTCAAGAACAAAGGATTTTAAGAAAAACTTCCACAAAAGGAAAGCATCATTTTGATGTTTAGAAAGGAAAAAGGACAACATAATATCTAGAACCTAAGGAGAAGTCTTTTAAAAGAAAAATCTTTAAAGGGGAGCGCAAGTACTGCAAAAAGTATGAACATAAGGCAGATGATTGTTTTATCTTGAAAAAGAAACTTGAAAAACAAGGTACACTTCTAGCTCTAGCTTATTTTGAGTCAAATATAGTAGATGTTCCTTCCAATACTTAGTGGCCGGACTCAGGTGCCACTATTCATGTCGTGAATTCTTTGCAGGGGTTCAAAAGTATAATAGTGATGCTGAGGTAAAGGTCATTGTGGGAGACGAAGCTAGAGTACCGATGATGGAGATAAGAGTTTTTTCCTTGTTTTTACCTTCCGAACACATTTTGATTTTAAAAGATGCAGTTTATGTACCTTCACTGAGAAGGAATTTGATTTCTATTTCAACTTTGGATAAATGTGGATACTTTTTTGTTTTTGGTAATGGAAAATTTGATGTTTGATTAAATTCCGTTGTTGTTGGTTCTTGAAATTTGTGTGACGGTTTGTATTTGTTGAATGTGAAAGAGATGTATGCTACTTCTTTTGTTGGGACTAAGCCCAATAGGAAAGATGCAAGTTCTTTGATGTTATGGCATATACGTTTAAGGTGCATTTCTAAGCCTCATATTGAAAGACTAATTAAGGAGGGTATTCTTCCTAATATTGACTTCTCTGATTTTGAAATTTACATTGATTGTCTCAAAGGAAAGTTCACTGCCAAAACCAGGAATACAAAAGCGAATAGATGTGAAGATGCATTGCAATTGATTCACACAAACATGTGTGAACCTATTACACCTAACGATATGGGTGGATATATGTACTTTATCACTTTCATAGATGAATTTTCTAGATTTTGTTGGATTGAACTTCTCCAATACAAGTCTAGCTCCTTAGATTCCTTCAAATCTTTTAAAGCTGCCATTGAATTGAAAACATGGAAGAAGGTTAGATGTATGAGGACTGGTATAGGAGGAGAATATTATGGTAGATATGACGAGACTAGAAGAAATTAAGGATCATTTTCTATATTTTTAGATGAATGTGGTATTGAGGCTCAATACACTATGCTAGGTACTCCTCGGAAGAACGAAGTTTCAAAGAGACTAATCATACACTTATGGACATGGTGAGGTGCATGATGAGTCATTCGTCATTGCCTGATTTTCTTTGGGGTGATGCTTGGAAGACTGCAGTCTACATTCTTAATCAGGTGCCTAGTAAATTAGTGTCAAAGACTCCTTATGACCTATTAACAGGTAGGAAACCAAGTTTGAGACATTTTCATGTTTGGGGTTGTAAGGATGAAGTCTAACATTACAATCCTCAATAGCAGAAAATTGATATGAAGACTATTAGTGGTTTCTTCATCGGATATAATATTGGGTCTAGAGGTTGCAGGTTTTATTGTCTTTCTCATTCTACGCGAGTCATTGAATCTGATGGAGAGATTTTCTTTAAGGATGATTTGGATAGTGGAATCTCTATGCCATGACCAATTACTTTTGAAGAAAATCATACTTTTCTCCTTATAAAATTTTTTACTTTCCCAAATGAGGTTGTGATTCTAGTAGTTCAAAATAATGATCAAGTTGTGGTACCACAAATAGATGAGCATGAACAAATCGATACCCTAGAGCCTATTGGTATTGTTGAACCAAGTAACATTGTTGAAATTGTTCAATTGAGACGATATCATAGAGATTGAAAGCCTATAATATCAAATGAATTTGTTGTGTATCTCGAAGAGCATGAGTTTGATATTCATGATGACGATGATCGTACCACTTTTAATGAAGCAATTTCTTGTTCTCGTGCTTTTGATTCGCTGAATGCTATGCATGATGAATTAAATTCTATGTATTATAATGGTGTTTGGGACCTCATAGAGTTTCTAGTTGGTTGCAAAGCCATTGAATGCAAATGGGTTTTCAAAACTAAACGTAATCCTGATGGCAAAATTGATAGATACAAATCCAGACTAGTTGCAGTTTGATGTATGCTCAAGTTTGTACTCGTCCTGATATTGCTTATGTTGTTAATGTTTTAGGAAGATACTTAAGTAACCCAAGTTTGGGTCGTCGGAAAGCCATTAAAAATTTCATGCGATATTTGTAGTGAACCAAGGATTACTTGTTGACCTATAAGAAGTCTGATCAACTACAGGTCATTGGTTATTTTGATTTTGCAAGTTGCCCTTACGACCGAAAGTTTACTTTTGGCTTAATTATGATGGCAGATGGAGCTATTTCATGGAAGAGTGCTAAACAAACTCTTACGGCTACCTCAACCATGTAGGCAGAATATGTAGCTTTCTATGAAGCTACTTGTTAAGCTATGTGGCTGAAGAACTTAATCTCTCGCTTCCAAGTTGTTGAAAGCATGTCTAGTCCACTTGTGATATATTGCGACAATTCTACTGCTGTACATTTCTCTCAGAACACTAAGAGTTATTCTCGCTCAAACCATTTTGATATTAAGTATCTATTTGTCAGAGAGAAAATTCTTGAATTTCATACTCGAATTGAACATCTGGACACCGAGAACATGTTGACAGATCCACCGACCAAAGGCTTAACTGTTAGTATTTTTCAAAGGCATGAAACCAATACGGGTGTACTTAAGTCAGTTAACATTCTGGA